GGTGCAGACTGGTGCTGAGCAAGCACCATTAACTCAGCCATCCTTCCTCTCGGCACCCATGCGGCAGTTCTCAACAACAAGTAAACAGATGGGGTTGTAGAAGGCTTATGCGGAGCAGCAAGGGATCTCAGACGGAGGCCACATTCGTATACAACATGATATTTCCATTGAAGGAAAAGCACAGTTTGCAAAAGAAATTTGATGTCAGATAACCTGAGTATCATTCCCATTGTTATAACATTTAGTTACATGGCACAAAACCCCAGATTCCCAGGGCCATGGTAAAGTCCATATGCAAACATGAATAAAAAACAGTTAAGCTCCTGACTGCACAGATATGGCCCCTCCGAAGGCCACACTGTGAAGCTGCACAAATGGAAAGCTGTAAAATATAAACTCTCTACTTCTATAGAATTTTTTTTCTCTCATCAACTGATAGCACAGTGAAGGTTGAGGTATTTTCTTGACAAATGGAGACATTGAGGCTGGGGGAAATCAGGTCTGTGCCAAGAGACGCAAAGGCTGCAGTCAAGAAGTGACACCGAGTTCAGTGCTCTGCCAATGAAAGCAATTTGTATTCCTTCCCTCAAGAGCCAAAAAGAAAAGGGGACAGTCTACCGAGTTCACGTACAGCTCAGCTCAGTAAAGAGGAATAAGGATATTTACAAGAAAAGGGGAGGAAAGTACCAAAAGGAGATAGGGGAAAGGAAAACATGTACGTACGAGAGCCCATGTTGGCAGCTGCGCAGTCAGGATTTAAAAGTGAGAGTTAGAAACTTGACCCGTTATAGTTGAGGAGGAAGCCAGCAAAATGGTTCCAAAAGAAATAATACGGTCATAATAGCAGGAAGTTAATGTGGTCTCCTTGGCTGGAGAATCTGCTCTGGCTTCTCTGGATGGAAGGGCTAGAAATGCTGTAGCCATGACCATGTTTGAATGCCTAAAAGAAGGGTTTGAAGGATTGAGACATCTGAACAGTAGGCTGTGGACTGAGGGCTGCCTTGCTGGGTCCTGTGAGAGTGACCATCCAAAATGACCCCTCTCCAGAGAGAGAGCAAGACCAGGCTGTTCTCTCGGGCTGTAGAGACAGAGAAGAGGGTCAGGACCAAGCTGAGTAGTGGGCTCTGTGGTTTGCTGGCTGCCCAGCTCTGAGCTGCTTCTGCCAGGAGGCTGGAAACAGGAATGGTGCCCAAGCACTTTGTGACCAGCACTTCCCCATAGACAGACACCTTGAGTGGCTGGGCCTGTGCCTCCTGTTGAAAACGGGTCTCCACTGAGCTCCCAGTGGGAAACCTGGAGGCCCAAACTATGGTGTCCGCGTCCCTAAAATTAACCCAGATGCCAGGTTTCAAGGTCTTTGTTTCTTGTGTTTCTTCAGTGGCCTTCTCCTCACTAAAAATGGAAAAAGAAAAGGGTTTTTAAGAGAAAAACATTCCCAGGCACACTCTTCCCTTCCTCTCCACTTCCTTGCAAGAAGTATGATAAAAAACGTTTCTGTACTCTGGTGTCCTCACGGTCCCTCAAGGCTTCTCCTCCTGGCCAACCCGTAATCCTTCACACTCACTGCCCCTCACCTCCCAGGCAGTAGGGAAAGCCAGTGTCTTAGGAAAAGAAGCAAAGAGGAGGAAATGGTTTTCTTCTTAATAAAAATAGGAAACTGTCTTTTTACAGATTAAGTAGGTCCATCCTAATATGCACAGGAAAACCCATTTTTCTGGAATTTTTGAAATAAATATGGTTTTCAAGTTCTTGTAGCAGAGAATACAATTTTTTGTAAATGTTATCATGATTCATTTAATTGAGCTACTGTTTATAAAATAAAAATTGGGCAGATCCTTGCTGACTGGGAGCGTCTTGAGTGTTGCAGAGGTTTGTTGCGGAGGTGTCAGGTGTGGGAAAGCACATGTGCGTTCTTGCCTCTGCTGGTTGGACAAGTGCTAGTCCCAATCCACTTGTCACTGTCAGCCCAGCGCAGCATTCAGTATCCCATATTTTCTGGCGATGCTGTCAGCTGGTGTTTTTCTGTTTAGCCCAGCACATAGAATTGTTCATACACTCCCCAGACTTTGAGAGGTCTGGAGAGAAGGCACGACAAGAGCAAGATGAGGAGGAGTGGGCAAAAGGGAAGGTTTGCAGGCAGGAAAGGAGGTAAGGAACGAGGGGCATGCACCGGAGCCGGCAGTGTGGTCCTGCCAGTCTGGCCCAGCCAGCACATGGACTGAGGTACAGCTCTGTTCCCCCCGCTAAAGCTGCCCAGGAAGGAGTCCACCTCAGCAGATGTGACACGCTGCTTCAAGTCATCACATCTGCTGTGTCCACATCTTGGGAGGAACGCTGGAAAAACAGGCCTGACCCAAGTGGCCAATTAAACTTTCTATTGGCAGAGGTTGAATTAAGAGTTTAAAGAAGGGAAATATTTCCATTTGAGGAGTTTGTTTTCTAATGAAATAAAAGATTTACTGACACAAGCACCACAGAACCATGGGAGAGTAATTAATTGGATTCTGTGGTGCTATTGCAGGCATTCAGTGCTAGATTAAAACCTTAGGAGGTATTTGGGGATTTGTAGCCTCTTCCACAGGCACTTGTCACAGCTCTGAGCTTCAGACCTCTGCCTATCTTTCCTCTGGTTCCTGGGGCTCCTGGCAGGAGCTGGGACAAGGGGGAATTCCTGCACACTCAAGGTCTGTAGGTTTAGAAACACTGTGGGACTCGAGCTCTGCTAAATTCTCTACAGCAAAGCGGTCACCTCAGAGGATGCCTGTCCGAGTATGTGCCTGTGCTCTCTTCCTGACCTTGTGGGGTACCTGGGATGCAGGTGACTGTCAGCTGTACCGGGCCAGAGCTTCCCAGCCAAACCCCTGGGAGTAGATGTACATTTGAATTAGACATTATTTTTCAAGTCAGTGCAACTCAGACATGCATTCTGTGATACCAGCGGAGAGTCTCAGGAAACAGTATACATGAGGGAGTGAAAGTGGTCACTGACCTCACATCAGGGCAGGGTTTGTAGCCAGTTCAAATCTGTTTTGCTACTGAGTGAATTGCAAAACCTTTGTGATTTTCTAACCTTCCTAGAGTTTGAAATGGTGACTGAGGAAATGCTAGCCTTTGTCCCTAACCCTGTCTGTCTGGAGCACCTCAAGAAAAGGCTGCCTTTTACAAACCCCAGCAGCCCCATAAGAAACCATCCTACAAGGGTTTGAACAAACAGGTAACTGAAACAGCTGTCAGTCAGGAGGACCCAGGATATGCCCAGCTTCAAAAGTAACAGTACAACAAAGAGAATTACCTACCAACCCAAAGTCTGAGTATTCCCCACCAAAGGGAACAGCATGTTCTCTGAATCCACAACTTCTGTCCAAGCCAGCAGGGTTCTGGCTAGCTTCTTCTGTCCCAGAATTAAAGGCCACTGTGTGAATATGTGTGTTCTACTGTTGGTGACAGCCCTGAGACACAAGAGGAGATCTAATGCTTGAAATCAGAGTCTTGCTGCTGTAAACTAACTGGATCAGAAGTTAGGGAAGATTACAGATGATAAGGGGAGAGGAGGGAGGGAGAGGGAGGGAGGGAGGGAGACAGGGAGGGAGACAGGGAGGGAGAGAGACAGAGAGACTGACTTGAGGGAGGTTGGGAAAGGGGGAAGGGGTCAGGGCATTTGCCTCACACTAAGTGAGGTATTTCCGGTGCTATCAGGAAGACCAGCACATGGCAGGCTGCAATCACTCTCCTGTGGTATCTTCTGTTAGTGCTACACAGCCTGATGCTTCAACATTAGGCAGCTCCTGCAGAGGGGCAGAAAGGTCTCAAATGATAGATGGCCTGACTGAGGTCATCCATAAACAAGAGGCCCCAGAGACACTCTGTCTCCCCTGTCAAAGTTTCTAAACCTCAAGGGGTCACCAGGCCAGATGGTGCCCAGCCCTGCTGACATGGTGGCAGATCTCAGACAGTGAGGCACCCACAGTTTGCCCAAGCATGAGGAAAACTATACAGTTCACAAGTGGAGCTTACAGATGCTGTAAATAGGGGACCATTTGCTTTCATTCCATGGGATATTTGTGCGTGCGTGTGTGTGTGTGTGTGTGTGTGTGTGTATGTGTGTGTGTGTGCTTTTTCATCTATATCTTTTAAGCTTTATTTTATTTTTAATTATATGTATGTTTGTGTGGGGTTATATGCATGTGAGGGAAGGTCCCCGAAAAGACCAGAGATGTCAGATCTCCTAGAGCTGGAGTTATAGGTGACTGTGACATGCCTGATATGGGTGCTGAACTAGGTCCTCTGCAAGAGCAGCATACACTCTTAACCACTGACCCATCTCTCCAGCCCCTATTCATATATTTTTACCTAGTCAAATGAGATATAATTTGCATACAATAAATTTTAATTTTGAGAATACACTTCATTGAGTTCTGACAAATCCGTGCATACATGCTGTAGAGCTGGGGTCACAGACTACAGCTAAAGAGCCAAACATGGCTTCCAACCTGGTTTTGTTTTAAACCTTTTTCAGGGGCTATAAAGAAGAGTGAGATCGCATGTAGCCCACACAGACAAAATTTTGCTGTTGGCCCTTCACAGTAAAAGTGTGGGCCTTAGACACGCCATCTCTCACCTCCCACAGCTCCCTCTGACCTTTCACCAGCATCTTTCCCTCCATAGAAACCGCTGATCTGCTTTCTATCATGCAGCCGTTTGCCTTTCTAGAATTTTATATAAGTGAAATTATACGGTATGTTGCCTTTTGTGTCTGGGTTCTTTCAGTTACATTGCTTCTAAGATTCACTGTCTGGGTTTTTTGCATCTATGAGCTCTGCATTCCATTGTTACATTACTTCTGCACAGTATGCTACCGAGTTAAAGGCACAGTTCCACTCCCAGGAGGGTGGAGGCCCACCTTATGTTTTAACCATGTGTTGCATAGTGGGTCAGGACCTGGAGCCCAGAAGGCACCCAGAGCCCAGGAGTGCACACACTCACTACCCCTTTCTTTGCAGGCATGAACAACCGAGAGGTGCTGGAGCAGGTGGAGCGTGGTTACAGGATGCCCTGCCCACAGGACTGCCCCATCTCCCTGCACGAGCTCATGATCCACTGCTGGAAAAAGGACCCGGAAGAACGCCCTACTTTTGAGTACTTGCAGGGCTTCCTGGAGGACTACTTTACAGCCACAGAGCCCCAGTATCAGCCTGGTGAAAACCTGTGAGAGCCGGCTCTGCTGAAGCCTCTTCTCAAAGGCCTCCTTATCCCTCCCCATTAGCTTCCAATTCTGTAGCCAGCTGCCCCCAGCAGCGAGAACCGTCCAGGATCAGATTGCATGTGACTCTGAAGCTGACGAACTTCCATGGCCCTCATTAATGATACTTGTCCCCCAATCCAAACCTCCTCTGTGAAGCATACAAGACAGAACCGTGTTAATTCTCAGACTTTGGAAATGCATTGTATCGATGTTATGTAAAAGGCCAAACCTCTGTTCAGTGTAAATACTTACTCCCGTGCCAATGATCCTAGTGCTTTCCTTTTTTTAAAAAAAAAAAAAAAAAAAAAGCAAATCCTATGTGATTTTAACTGTCTTCACCTGATTCAACTAAAAAAAAAGTATTATTTTCCAAAAGTGGCCTCTTTGTCTAAAACAATAAAATTTTTTTTCATGTTTTAACAAAAAATGATCAGGACAGGTGTTTGGGTTTTTTTTTCTTTTTTATACACATGAATATATATACATATATATGTGTGTGTGTGTGTGTGTGTGTCCCTGTACATATATCATGTGGGTGCTATCATGGAGACTGGCCAGCCTAGGCCACATTAACTACAGGACCCAGAGTGAGGGGCTTACCGCAAAAACCTGCATCAAAGCACTGGTGTTGTCCTGAACTAATAACCTTTTTTTTTTTTTTTTTTTTTCGGCTTCTACAAGGCATGATTTTTTTCTTCATTTGGATTACACTTTGGGTTCCTAACTACGCCTATAGATGGTTGTTGCCTTGACTCTTTTCAGGACCCCTAAGCTGAATTCACAAATTTTATTGCCAGTATTTGCTCCAATTTACTGCAATTTGCTCTTAAAACTTAAAAGTGAGCACATTTAAGCAAGCCAGTCCTACCAAGAGAACTGGAAGATGGTACCACACAAACTTCTTGTAGAAACATGTGAATGCTGAAATTTTCAAATGGTTTTTTCTTTTATTTAATAAATCTTGTAACCACATTTAAATGGTCTAAAACCCATAGCATTGTGGTCATGACAACCTAAACTGTCTCATGTAACTAAAAATTATGGGGAAGGCAAGGGTCGGGGGGTTGTACATGTCCCATCATAAAATAAGTGTTCTTAAATGTCCTTTACTACTAATGAATGACACTCCGTGTCAAGAGTACTCCAGCGAATAACTATGCACTACTTTACATTTCATGGGGTTGCACAAAAAAGTATTACATTTTTAGTTTGGTTGCTGTTTGTACCAACCTTGAATTACATATGTTTAACAACAACAAATCAAAACTCCTATTTCTGTTGAGTTTTTAATACTGAATAGCAACTCTGAAGTCTTAATTCCTTTTTTGTTATGATTTACTTGTGAGTTTACATTTTTAAATTGTTTAACTTTCTTAAATTAGTAATTAAAAAGAGAGCATTTTACATTTGAAAAAAAAAATTTGTTCATTTGCGTACAGCACAGAAGGTACTCAAGTCGTTTTGTGACATATCTGTCCCATGCCAGATGGTGAGGAGTCACCTGGTGAATTTGGCCATTGTACAGTGACTTCCAAATGACAGAAGCATTCAGAACATCTGGAGATCCCTCCCCAACAAAAGGCGAGCAATTGTCTAGCTAATTCAAAGGACTGTTAAAGCAAAACTAGGCCTATCTTAATGTTTTAATTTATCTGACATTTTCTCTGACTGAAATTTGCTGTGTCCTATTTGTAGGGTAGACAATTACAAGAAGCCCTTCTGGTTCTAGAGTTAATCAGTACATTTCCAAGTGTCCCTCCCCTTCTATACTGAAGTTGCTAAGCAGGGGGACAGTGTGTTGGGGTGAAAAGGGCCGTAGGTGGACCAGGCAGCTGTCCAGACCTGGCTATGCCATCATTCAGCCAAGGAACCCTGAATAGCCACTTGCATCTCACCTTCAGGCCTGACTGTGGAAAGGAAATATGGATGAGACCCTCTTAGCTCCTTGCAGCTCTAACATCTTAGAATTCCAAGGTCACTGGTGTCCTGTGGAGACATATAAGGAAAAAATTTTTATTATTGTTATTGTTGAAATGAACTTTGCCTTTAGAAAGGATTTTTCAATATCTGAAAAAAAAGATGAAATATTTTCTACTTAATCAAAACTTTATGATATTACATCAGATATTAATATAATCAATAAAATTGCAAAGACCTTATTAGGTACATTTTTTATTACCTTAAGTCATTAATAAGTTCTAGATATTTTTCAAGGTAACTTTATTTTGGATTTGGGGTTTTTGGGGATGACGTTTGTTTCTTTTAAATATTTTATTTATTTTTATTTAATGTGTATGGGTGTATTGCTTCCATGTAGGTAGGTGCATCCGTGTTGTGCAGTGCCTGTGGAGGTCAGAAGAAAGCATTGGATTCCCTGGAACTGGAATTACAGACGGTTGTTAGCCACCATGTGGGTGCTGGCTATTGAACCCAGGTCCTCTGCAAGAGTAATCAGTGCTCTTAACCACTGAGCCATCTCTCCAGCCCGTTTGTTTGTTTTTGACAGGGTCTCCCTAGCCCCAGCCCTCCTGGAACTCACTATGTAGACCAAGCTGACCTTGATCTCACAGAGATCACCTGCTTCTGCCTCCCGAGTGCTGGTAAAGGCGTACACAACCATGCCTGACAAGATAACTTTGTTTTTAATCCTTATATCCTATTAAGATGGATAATTTGCAAATATTCTTTGGAGGATTTTTGTTTTGACTAGTTAAAAAAATCTGAAGGAAAAAAAAACAAACCTGTTTTAAGCAGAAAATCTTTAAAAATCTAGTCCGCTCAAAGAATGCAGCTTTTAATTTCATCAAGTCAGTTCACTGTGGCCCCTTGTCATATGTCTTGGACATAGGTTAGTTAACTCAAGAGCACTCTCATGAGATCAGCACCCTGAGCAGTTCTGAAATGCTTACCATAGAGTCGAAGAACAAAAGAAGAAATGTAAGTATAAAGAAATCAGAGAGGGGATGGAGAGGTGGCTCAGCAGTTAAGAGTGCTGACTGCTCTTGAAGAGGACCTAAGTTTGATTCCCAGCACCCACATGACAAATAACAATCATCCTAACTCCAGTTCCAGGGGATCCGACACCCTGTTCTGACCTCCAGGGCATTGTACAACATGGGTGCACTTACACACATGCAGGCACTACACTCGTATGCATAAAATAAAAACAATTTTTTTTAAAAATCGGGCTTCCAGTTTTTTCAAGAAGTTAATATGCTTTGAAGAACTAATCCTGAAGTCACCTCTGAGAGTCCCAGTTCCTCCCATGGAACCTTTCTGCCTCACAAGTTATAGAAGTTTGGGCTAAGGGAACTGATCAGAAAGTTCTCATTACAAAAAGAAAGTATCTCTTTAGTGTCAAGCAGTGGTTACAATATTTTTTGTCTTTAGTAATCCAGGAATGAGTAAGTGCTTACCCTGTACCTCCAGGAGAGCCGCCATCTTGGCATTGTCCAGCTAATCAGGGTGCCTCCCCAATAAACTATTTTTACTTTTTAAAAATCAAATAAGGCTGGGCGTGGTGGTGCACGCCTTTAATCCCAGCACTTGGGAGGCAGAGACAGGTGGATCTCTGTGAGTTCAAGGCCATTCTGGTCTACATAGTGAGTTCCAGGACAGCTGGGGCTACAGGGAGACCCTGTCTCAAAAAGACCAAAAAAAGTTGACTAGAGGAGAACTTTCCAAAGCTCAAGTGTGGGAAATTGTGACAAAAGGGTTCCTGTTCATGCCATCCTAGCAGCATACACCCCGAGGCAGCAGCATGCAGGTGTGTTGATGGATAGGAAGGGCCCTGATGGACACACGGTCCCACATGTTAGAGCGTCAAGGCAAAGGGCGCATGTGGCTCTGCCATGTGTGGGAACAGGCATTTCCACAAGAAAAGCCAAGGGTACACATGATCCCCATCAAACACACAGGACGGAAGAGTTCCTGAGCCCTGGGGGTATTTACTCACCTTGAGACAGACAGGAACCCTCCTGTGGCAAAATCTTAACAGTGGAGGATTTTTCTAGTAGGACAAGAGCTGCAAAATTTTGATCTGCAATTTCCTACGGAACTTTAACAACGTCTGCCATGTTAATTGTTTGTTTCATGAGCCTTTCATGAAAGTAGGTGAGGTTCCCAGCGGCATTTGGGGGAGAATAGGGCTTCGGCTCACTGCAGAAAAGATGACATCTGTATTGTTGGTCGTGATTCAGAGCAAGACAATCTCACTACACAGGGCAGGCATTTCCTAACAATCTGTATTTGAGTAAAATGGTGTTTGGTCAATCTGTTTCTAAAAGATATTTAAATAGATTCAGATGACTTTTGTTGACTTTCTTTCCACCATGTATTGTATTTCGGGAATCCAGTTAACCCGAAATAATATATTTGCTGGTGCCAGGTGTGGTGGTTCACACCTTTAGTCTCAGCACTTAGGAGGAAGAGGCAGGCAGACCTCTGTGAGATTGAGGCCAGCCTGGTCTACATAGGGAGTTCCAGGCCAGCTGGAGCTACAGGGAGACCCTGTCTCAAAAAATAAATGTTGGAGGGAAGATAGCGAGATGGACAGGAAAGGGAAGAAGATTGTCTTTGATTTTGGAGGGGGAAAATGCTCAAATTTTGAGTCCAAACCAGTATTATCTATGTTTATTTTTATTCTCAAATGTAGATTCTAGTACAGTAGAACATCATGAAGAAGACTACCTTTAACATCTTTTAAAATATCAAATGAACCTTCATAATTTGTTTATATTAAATAGTCCCCCAAAAGTTTCATAATAAATATGTCATATCTCACTCTTTCCCAACATGCAAAATATTTAGAGTCTTATGGGGAGGACAAAGGGACCAGTGTGTCTTTATTTTGAAAATTAGAAGCTGGGAAGCACAGCCGAATATACAGCACTTGCCTCAAATGCCTGAGGCCCTTAGTTCAGTCTCTAGTACTACCCAAAAAAATTCTGGAGGTAGAAATAAAAGTTAATAGTTTTCAGTTTTGTAAAAGCTGTCCCAGTAAGAGTACAATTCTTGGCAAGTGACTGTTCTTCAACAACCAGGATGGTGTGCCCATCTCTGGAATACTTACAGCTTGTGTAACCCTGTGCTTAATACTATCGACATGTCTGATAACACTGCCCCTCTTTTAACGGGTTTTCCATGGCATATTGGGTGTTCCTTAATAACAGAAATTGCCTGGTACTTGGCTGTTCTTCTCCTTCACCTTGCACAATGATGAATTTCTGGCAGATGTGGGACTGATGGATCGGTGAATGGTTAGATGGATGGCACCCCCATCCAGTAGGGTGAATGGCTTACCTTCAAATGACACACTTATCTAAGCA